AGGATCATAGTCGTCAGGAAATAAAGGTCAGAAAGATCATTGTCTTATGGCGGTGGTCCATTAAGAGCCTGGACATCAAGTGGTGGTCTGATGGAACTCTGGGTGTCAGGTAGTGGTGGTCCAGTATAACTTCGAGCATCAGGTGGTGATCCGATGGAACTCCGGGCTTTAGGTGGTGGTCTGGTGAAACTCTGTCATAAGGTGGTGGTTTGGTAGAACTTCGGGCGTCAAGTGGAACTCCTAGCATCAGGTGGTGGCCCGGTGGAACTCTGGGCGTCATGTGGTGGTCCGATAGAACTCCGGCATCAGGTGGTGGTCCAGTGGAACTTTGGGTGTTAGGTGGTGGCCTAGTGGAACTCCAGGCATTATGTGGTGGTCGACGGAACACCAGCATCACGTGGTGGTCTAGTGGAACTTTGGGGTCTGGTGGTGATTTGGCAGAACTCCGGGCGGTGGTCGAGGACCGAGGAGGAAAGAGCGATATCCGATCTCTCTTGCTCTCTTCCTTGGGTCCATTTTTTAAGAGGAAGGATGAATTTATTTATAGATTTTTTAGAGTGGCATGGCTAGTAAATAGGAGGAATATCAAGGTTAAATGAGTGGTTTGGATGGACGACCGATGTTGAATCTCTTGATCGTGGACCATTTGTTGGAGATTTGAATGTCTTAGTGATATCAAAATTTAGTGATCTTGGGCTTGTTGAATTTGTATCATTGAGCCACTTGATTTGACTATAAGCATGTTATGTTTGGAAACCGTTTGATAATCTAAATTATGGTTTAAATCTTCCAACAGTGCTTCAGGCCCTTGATTTGGAACCATTTGGGCTCGGATTGAGTCAAATTTGGTGTTGTTGGGTTTGTATTTTTGAGATAATTAGTTTGACTATATGTTTGCTAAAATTGAAATTCAGATAATCTCAAATTTAATTTTGAAAGTTTTCAAGTTGAATATGCCTCGAGATTCGTGCACTATCAAAGTAATTTTATGACATATCATGTATCAATTTAGGAGAGATTAATTTCTTTAAATTCAAAATAATTGAAAATTAAAGTATGATTCGAGTTACTTACAACGATCATAAGACTTTTTCAAATTGAAGCAAATGATGAAAATGACTAAAATCTCTCTCTTCCCTCTCCTCTTCTTCTCCCTTGCACTCTCTTCTTCCATCACAAGTGAACAGAAATGGGGGAGAGGTGGTGACTTTGGAGGCTTTTAGTGCTTTAGATTTGATTAAAAAATATATAGAAATATTGTTAGTGCCTAGCACCATAGTGCTCTGATCAATGCCATAACGCTGCATAACAAATAAGAAGCTTGTAGCTTGAGTTTATACATGCATGCAGTGATGCTAGTTTAACTTTTATTTCAGATCTTTGGTTTATGTATTCTTTAGTAGTCATTGTGGCTATTGTATATATATTATTTTGGACATTACCATTATGTTGTAATTCTTGATTATAGAAATGTGAATTATATTTTTTATTGTTTTTTTGTTCTCTATAATATAATTAATCAGCTCTAGATGTTGATATTGACTTGGTTTAAGGGTTGATTAGTAAATAGAATGAATTAACAAGATAAGAAAGATTTAAAAGTAAAAGAAAAATAAAAATAAAAATTTTCATTATAGACCTTGGGGCACAGCGCTACCAAGCACAATGCCTAAGTACTCCAGTTCAAACATAAATAAAAGTTTTTATTTTTGAAATACTTTTTCATATTTTGGATTTTTACACTCTCCACCTTAGACCTGACAGTGCAACGCGCAGTCAAAACCCATTTTGACCCAAAAACTCGAGAGCTCAGCATCGAGGCGTCACCAAACCCCGATGCCCCAGCACCCTAAAGAAAATTTTATAAATAAGATTTTGGCTATTACAAAATGTTTTTTAAGATCGTAATGGCTGATTTGAATTGTACAATACGAATGCTAATTAAGATTTGATCTTGATTTGATTCTTTGATCAACAGTCTAAATTGGGGAACATTCATTAATAATCGTACAATATTACTTGGTTTATATAATATGATTAGGTTAAAATTTAATATTTAAATTTGGAAACTTAGATTCAAGAGTAGGTGATTATCAAAATATCTGATCATCTTGTACGATCAATATCATACATTGTGATTAGTTATGCTAGAATTTAGTTTATTAATTTTTTTAATACTTGATTTAATTTGTAGAATAAATGATCGTATAATACGATTGAGATTGCACAATTCAATTTAACAAAGTATTCAAGTGCTTAATTTTCATCCCCATTCATGTGTTTGTCCTCATTTGTCTTTCCAACATACTCCTAAATACATAATGAATGAAAGAAAAAGAAAATACAGACTTTTATTACAAGTTTTGATTGCACTCAATGTTGTAATTTTTAAGCTTTCTTCTTTGACTTGACTCCTTATATGTTTTATCTAAAATATTAGTAGCGTACAAAAATACATATATATATAGCAAATAATAATAAGTGATCTAACTATTAATATTTAAAATTATCAAAACAATCAGTCCGATTCACAAATTTCAACACTTGTAAATATCACTTGTAGAATCTAGAATATTTTTTTGAAGATGTTATAATTAAATGTAGGGCTACAAGAGAATGATGGAGATAAATAATAATTTTTATGTTGAAATATTTTTCTCTAAGAGACCAATCTATTGCATCAAGCAACTTTTGAATCAAATTCTTAGAAAGGTTTTAATAATTATGGGAAGTATATATCTACTCCAAGAAATTTTAATTGTGAAATTTGATCAATTTAGGATTCAAATGGGTATGAATTTCTTAGATTTATCATTTGAATTCCCATGTCAAGATCATCATGTAAAATAATTTTCAAAAAGTTTTCAATTGAATTTTAAAGTTGCGAAATAAGATATTTAATCAAAATTCATGTTAACCACATGAAAAAGTTGTGATCCCATCATAGATTAACATTAATGATATTAATCATGTATGAGTGATTCCATCATAGTTCATCTTAAATGATCTTAATATAATAGTTGAGTACAATAATGAAAAAAAAGTTGCTAGATAAAAAAAAAGTTTAATTAAATATAAACAATAATATTCCTTAAAAAAAAATCAATAATTTAATATATTTTAAGCCTCATCTAATATTATTCATTTGATATAACTTTAGTTTTATAGAAATTTTATATTTTTAAAGTTTTTTGTCAGTAAAATGGGAAATTTAACTTTATATGTTCGTAATATACGCAATTGGCCAATTATCTATGTTATATGACTTATTGGAGAAATATGTCCAAAAGTTTATTTTAGACCAAATTATCCTCATTAAGGATAGTCACTTGTAGTCATTGATTGTGTATGGAAGTCAGAGCTTTTCAAAATTGATTTAGATTCAAGCCAATTAAACTAGTTTGAATCAAAATCAAACCAAACTTCGAATCTAATTTTAATCAAGGTTTGAACCTTGGTTTGAAGATAATTTTGAATCTAATTTTGAACCAATCTTTAGTTTTTGAGAGAACATTGAAGCAAAAGGAGAGAGCCTGGAGATTGGAAAGGTTGCTTAGGGGTGCGACATGCAATTAGCCAATGTGGGTGAAACTAGGGAGGCCATACAGTTGCTAACAGGGGCAGAATCAGCCTTGATTCTTAGGGGGGTGTCAAATTTATAAATAATACATCTACACAATGTGTTTAATTCTACTAGGGGCAACCACCTAAAGATAATAGTATTTTAATTTTTTTAAGAGGGACAATTGCCTAAAAACTCCTATAATAAAGAGTAAAAAAGAATGGAGGGGAATAAATTACCTAAATATCCATGTAATAAATAATTTTTTAATTTTTTTAGGGGGGGCAATTGAGTCCCCTGGGGGCTAGGTGGTTCCGTCCCTGGTTGCTAACACATATATTGCCATACAACTTAATCCTAGTGAAATCTACTATTACCATTTAGAAGGAAGTAGGAAGAGAAGATAAGGAGAGGCAGTGCATCCACAGTGTCTGAGTTTGTAAGCGCAAAATTTAAGCTTGCGACCATGGTGAAACAATATATCCATGGAGAAGTCGTATGCAACGGAGCAGAGGCGGAACCCAATGGGTGTCGGGGGTGAGATATGTATAAATTATAATGAAAATTTTAAACAACTCCCATTGTTGCTTAGTTTGATTGGTGGGCGAGTATGATTGAGAACTTCCAACCTGTGTTTGATTCCTCTCAAGCGGCAGCGCCTCTTCAGTCATAGGGCTCAATCAAGTACGAACCAAGAGATTTTGAAGTGGCTGCTTCTTCTAGATCAGCCGAAGATTAATTCTTTTGAGAGTAGCGGATAGATATATTGTTTTTTAAAAACAAATCTAAAAAACATTATATAAAAAACTAAAAAAAGACTTTCTAACTAATTTTTATATTTTTAATAAAAAATATATAAAATAACTAAAAGTTGAAAATATAATATACTTTTAAAAAAAAAACCCTATAACTCTAAGGGACGTACCGATGTTCAGTTAATGCATGTTGCATTTTACACAGAAAGATGTTTCAAAAATAAAAAACCGTTCAAATTCTCCTCAGACCAGCTGCGCGCCTGCGCCCTGGCCGCCCACCCATTAATCCGATCTAGCACTTCCTAGAATAGTAGACCGTCCTTCCCTATATCTTCCCAGAACCTCCGGTATGAGATACCGCAGCGGTGACGAGTACCATATCGCCATACCATCATACCATACCATACATGCATAACATAACCCACATGGCTACATCACATCATAATCATCCGAAATATAAATAAATTTCAATTTCCTTTTTTAATCATAATTTTATGTTTATTAAACTGTGAAGGACGGAGTGTGCATCTCTGTCCCCGTGCAACGCCGCGCGACATCTTTAAAGCGCCCAAAATCAGACAGATCAAAAGAAATGCCACCAAGCATTTAAAAATTTCAAAGAAAAAAAAAAGGCTGAATTTAACCAAAGCGGTTTAAAATGAATGCAGCTATATAAATAAACAACGTAACCATTTCAGAATCACTCTTCTCTTCTTAATTTTCTTCAGTCTCCAGTTCAACTCCCTTCGATCTTTACCTGTCATTGAGAAAGATTTCGACTTTCGTGGAATGCGAAGTGGGATTAATGGAGGATTAGAGTACCTCGCCTTGTTCTCTCCGGCACCTGAGTTGGTGGCTTGTGGAAGCTGGTAATGCCGGAGGGAGGAGTGTAGAAGACTCTGCTGAGGAGGCCGAGGAGTCGGAGGAAAGGAGAGAGAGGCGTCGGTTCTGCTAAAGCTACATATTTTTTGGTGGTTTGCTTTTTTATTAGGGTTTTTTGAGATGGCTATGGTGGTTAGCGCGAAGGAGGCGGGGAAGCAGCAGATGGACGCTGGGAAGTACGTTAGGTACACGCCGGAGCAGGTGGAGGCGTTGGAACGGGTTTACAGCGAGTGTCCAAAACCTAGCTCGATGAGGAGGCAGCAGCTTATAAGGGAGTGCCCAATACTCGCTAACATCGAGCCCAAGCAGATCAAGGTCTGGTTTCAAAACCGCAGGTGAGAGGCAATGTCTTGAAGGAGATCAGATCTTGTTTTTGTTTTATTTCCTTTTTCATGGGTTGATTCTTTGGATTCTGTTTCTTAGTTCCTATGGAGCGAGTTCTTCGTTCATGCTTTCTCCGAATCAATTATTTCCTTTAATCTTCGTGGATAAAGAGTTAAAGAGGGAATCTTTGTTGCATTTACGGTCAAAGTTAAATGGAATTTCTTCTCGTTGTCTGTATTTTCTTATTCTTGTTTGTCGCGCTTTATGATCGCTCCGGAGTTCAAATGTTTTCTTGCTTTTGTTCTTTTCAATGGTTTCTAAATCGCCCTCAGTTTTCCACTGGAGAATCGGCCTTTTTTTGACTGAATACTGAGAAATAGATATCTGCTGGTATTTGGCTTTTGTTGCATTTATTGGTTAAGTTACTTTTGGTACAACTTTATTCGTTCAGTTCTTGCGCTAGAGTGGTCGATGATGGTTTAGGCTTTGGAACCGCTGCTTTAATTCCTGTTACTTTTGGAGGATGGGTTCTTTCGATCTTTATACATTTTTACTTGTCGGACGATTACGATCGTCTTGTCCACGTCGCACAAGGAGGGTCTTTTATGTTCCCTTTCTACCGCACGTATTGTTTGTTTTCTGTATCTGGTTAGCGTAATTTGTATTTTACTGCATAGGTTTGCATCTGATTTTTTTATAAAATTTGCGAACTCTACCTTCTTCTTCGTTTAAGGCTTTTTTGATCTTTATTTTCACACATCTCTCCAGTTTCTAATTTGTTAGAAGTTCTGTTTTTGGAACAAACAAATGGCTTATGATCAGTATTTATATTGAAGGTTTCCTTTTGGTGCTTAGATGAAGATTGGTGTTGTAGATCGGTCTTAAAAGTTGACTAATTCCTTATTGAGGGTTTTAAATGGGCAGTTTGCATTCGTTCAAATCATTTGTTTAAAAATAGAACTGTTTTGTTGCTCTTTTTCTTGTAAGATTAATGTTGGTTTACTGGTTTTAAGATGTCGAGAGAAGCAGAGAAAAGAATCCTCTCGTCTTCAGACTGTTAATAGAAAATTGACCGCCATGAACAAGCTGCTAATGGAGGAAAATGACCGGTTGCAGAAGCAGGTTTCTCAGCTTGTTTATGAGAATGGCTATATGCGTCAGCAGGTTAATACTGTAAGTGGATCGTTTTGTTGATTCTTCAGTTTATGTTACACAATGCCTTCTTTCATTATCATTCTTATTTAAAATTTTCTTCCAACGTTCTTAGGAATTTACTTCTTACATTAATTGGTACAGGGTATGAATTAGTATTTGGCCGTCTGTGTATGGTATTAGTTTGTGAAACATTTTTGCTGGCATAGTTCTAGCAAGATAAACATTTTAGTTAACATCTACTCAATTCAACTTGGTCTGTTGGTTGAGAGTTTTGACTACTAACTAAGAGATTTTGAGTTCGAGTCTTGTATATATGATGTGTGTAATTTTGTCTTAGGCTTCGTTTGGGACGGCTTTCTTACTGCTTCTTAAAGCAGCTTAAATTTTAATTTTTGTGCTAGAAAGCTGCTTTAAGAAGCATTAAGAAAGCCGTCTCATATGAAGCCATAATTGGCCTAAATTTCTAAACAAAATTAACATCTTTTTCATCTGTGGTATGCTGTTTTGTTTCAATTTCTGAATATATGTGCTTTTTTGATAGACATCTGTGGCTACCACAGACACAAGCTGTGAGTCTGTGGTGACAAGTGGTCAGCACCATCAGCAGCAAAACCCAACGCCTCAGCATCCACCAAGGGATGCTAACAACCCAGCTAGGTAATGGAAATTAGCTATATTACTTTGTCTAAGTATAATTATAACATTTTGGACTTGTGAACTGAGGATTTTATTTCATCCCTTTACTCTTTCAGTCTACTCGCAATTGCTGAGGAGACCTTAGCAGAGTTCCTGTCTAAAGCCACAGGAACTGCTGTTGAATGGGTTCAGATGGTTGGTATGAAGGTATGATCTTGTGGATTTACAATCATATTTATTTCACTTTTTGAATGCATTGTGTTTATTTGTAATTGTTTACCTCTTCTCATGTAAATAGCCTGGTCCGGATTCTATTGGAATCATTGCTGTTTCCCACAATTGCAGTGGTGTAGCAGCCCGAGCTTGTGGCCTTGTGAGTTTAGAACCCACGAAGGTATGATTTCGTTTCTAGAATTATTTGTGCTTCCTCTATCTTCTTAGTTCCGGAAGTCACATTCTGCTATGCTTCCTTAGGTCGCGGAGTTACTCAAAGATCGTCTAAATTGGTATCGCGATTGTCGATCCCATGATGTGTTAACGGTTATCCCTGCTGGAAATGGTGGTAATATTGAACTTATTTATATGCAGGTATGAACTCGTTTAGATGATTTGGGTTCTCGAACGAGCACTCTTCACATATTTTTCCTTAATTCTAAATTCCTCTATTTTTTATTTACAGACATATTCTCCTACTACTCTGGCATCTGCACGAGATTTTTGGACTCTTAGGTATACTGCAGGTTTAGAAGATGGCAGCCTGGTGGTAAGTTTTTAATCATTCGAATACAAGTTCTATTTCTTTATGAAGTGATGCTTTTTATTTGAATGTTTGGTAATTTATGTGGTATAGAGATTTGGTTGTGTTGCTAGTATTGTTTTGCTGCAGGTTGTCTTGCTGTAGCAACTTTCCTTTTTAGTTCTTTTTTCTTTTCCCCTTGTAATTACTTTCGTTTAGTGAATTGCGCAAATTGTTTCAACCTTCTAATACTAAAGTATATATGCGATCGTACCGGGTGAATGTGTAATGATGGTCATTTAAAGCAATTTTACTTATTAACATTTGGTTTTAAATGGTAGAGGAATCTGTGGCCTAGTTGGTGGAGAAAGTTGTTTCTCACATTTGACTGTTTTATCACCCAATTCTCTAAAAATCTATTCTAAATGGTTAATACAGTACAATCACCTCTTGATATCTCTTCTTCCTGTTAAAACATACAAACGATGTTACACTTCATTCTGAACAGGACATTATTTTGCTCTAAGGTAAGATTATTTTTGTAGATCTGTGAGAGGTCCTTAACTCCTTCAACTGGCGGTCCAGCTGGGCCCCCGGCTGCTAATTTTGTCAGAGCTGAGATCCTTCCAAGTGGTTATCTGATACGACCCTGTGAGGGTGGTGGTTCAATGATTTACATTGTTGATCATGTTGATTTGGATGTAAGGTTCTTCATGAACATTTTATATGTTTGTGCTTATTAAGAAATTTTCATCTGAAAACTGTTTTTGGCTTAGGCTTGGAGTGTGCCAGAGGTTCTGAGGCCCTTGTATGAGTCCCCAAAAATTTTAGCTCAAAAATTGACCATTTCTGTAAGTTTTATGCCCATCAGTTTCTCTTCAATTCATTGTTTGCACCAGCATTTTATCCCTTTCTTTTGTTTCAGGCTCTGCGTCATATTAGACAGATTTCCCAAGAAAGTAATAGTGAAATATCCTATGCTGGGGGTCGTCAACCCACTGTACTAAGGACTTTCAGCCAGAGGATGAGCAGGTTTGCATTCCAGCCATTTTATCAATACTCGTTTTTGCTTTTGTGTGTTTAGCTCAAATGTAATGAATTGCAGGGGCTTCAATGATGCTGTAAATGGGTTTCCTGATGATGGCTGGTCTTTAATGGGAAGTGATGGTGTGGAGGATGTGACAATTGCTATCAACACTTTCCCTAACAAGCTTCTTGGTGGTCATTCAAGCTCTTCTTTGTTTTCTTCACTGGGAGGTGGCATCTTATGTGCTAAAGCATCCATGCTTCTTCAGGTTTTTCATCTTCCAGAAAATGATTGTTGGTTTTTTTTCTTTTTGTAAGTTGAGGCTTTGAGGCTTTGTTTGGGACCGCTTTTTTATTGCTTCTTAAAGCAACTTTTTAGTACAAAAATTAAAAATTTTGTGTTATGAAACTGCTTTAAGAATCAGAAAGAAAGCCGTCCCAAACAAAGCCTGGGTCTCTGAGCTTTTTGCTTTTGTGCTACAGAATGTGCCACCTGCTTTACTAGTTCAGTTTCTGAGGGAGCATCGGTCAGAGTGGGCTGATTCAGGTGTTGATGCTTATTCAGCTTCTTCACTGAGAGCCAGTCCTTATGCTGTTCCTGGTTTGAGGGTCAGTAATGGTTTTTTGGGCAGCCATGTTATTATTCCCCTTGCTCATACTGTGGAAAATGAAGAGGTAAAGTTTGTTTTTCCAATGCTTAATTCCTTTTGCCAAGAATTTTCTTTAGCCTATAGTACCCATCCATAACTTTTGTAATCATGTCTATCTGTAGGTCCTGGAAGTTGTTAGGTTGGAATGTCCTGGATTCAACCAGGAGGATGTTCTATCCAGGGACATGTATCTGTTGCAGGTTGGATATTCTTAAATGCAAGGCTTCGTTTGAGATAGCTTTCATACTGATTTTTAAAATGACTTTTCTAGTACAAAAATTTCAAATTCAATAAATTTTTGTACTAAAAAGCTGTTTTAGAAAGTAACAAGAAAGTCGTCCCAAACAACTTGTAGGCTTCTAATTGCTTTCTTTCTTCTACTAAACCTATTGTTATGTAAACTATTTTCTCTATGTTTGCAGCTATGTAGTGGTATTGATGAGAACGCAGTTGGTGCCTGCGCACAGCTTGTATTTGCTCCCATAGATGAATCTTTTGCAGATGATGCTTTCCTGCTTCCTTCGGGGTTTCGAGTGATACCCCTCGACGTGAAAACAGTAAGTAACTTGGTTTTTTTTTCCCTATAATTCCAGACTGTAATAATGGATGTTCTGCAGGACCCGCCATCTGCTACAAGAACACTTGACCTTGCTTCTGCTTTAGAAGTTGGAGGAGGTGGCACTGGAAGAGCTCCTAATGATCCAGTATCATATCCAAGCAATTCAAGATCAGTTCTGACCATTGCATTCCAATTTACATTTGAGAACCATCTCCGTGAAAATGTCACCGCAATGGCTCGGCAATATGTTCGAAGTGTTGTGGCCTCGGTGCAACGGGTCGCCATGGCAATTTCTCCCTCTCGACTTTGCAACCAATTAGGAATGAAGCATACTGCTGGTTCACCTGAGGCTCACACCCTGTCGCTGTGGATTTCTCGAAGTTACAGGTATCTATCATGAGCTCCTCATAGTGAAATAGATTTACTCAAAATAGCATTCTACTGTCTACTTCTCTTATTGATTTCTTAATTATTTTTATTCCATGAATGATATTTTCGTACAGGTTCCATACTGGAGTTGAACTCATTAGAACCGACTCTCAAGCTAGTGAAACTCTGAAGCTCCTGTGGCACTATTCTGATGCAATCATGTGCTGTTCTCTCAAGGTAAGCTTTCTTGTTTGATATTTTTTTTTTCCTGTTCTTGAGCTCATCTTTCTAACCAAGGTAACCATATTAACTGCAAGCAGGCTTCTCCATTGTTCACCTTCGCCAACCAAGCTGGACTTGACCTGCTTGAAACCACTCTGGTTGCCCTCCAAGACATTTCGCTCGAGAAGATACTCGATGACACCGGCCGTAAAGTTCTTTGTTCCGAGTTCCCTAAGATAATGCAGCAGGTCATCTTCTAGCAACTTAGGTTTTGTTTGGGACGGCTTTCTTTCTACTTTTTAAAATAGCTTTTTAGTTAAAAAATTAAAATTTTAAGAAGCAGAAAGAAATCCGTCTCAAACAAAGTCATTATGATTTGATTCGTATTTTAAACTGCATCCTTTCCTTATTCTTGTTGCAGGGCTTTGCCTATCTGCCTGCTGGCATTTGCATGTCAAGCATGGGGCGGCCGGTGTCCTACGAGCAGGCCATCGCTTGGAAGGTCCTAAACGAAGAGGACTCTCCCCATTGTCTGGCTTTCATGTTTGTTAACTGGTCATTTGTTTGAAGGTCATTTCACTGCCACCTATCTATTTTATAAGTTATATGTAGTTGCTGTAAGAACATAGAACCTCAGAGCGTTTGTTGCTTCTATCTATTTCGATCCTCATGGACTTAGGTGGGTGCCTTTTTCAGCTCTTTTGGCGTTGTGTGGTGATTGTAGTAATGAGCTGAATATAAACTAAGATTGGCACTTGTTTTGTATTTTGGTTTTCTTCAACTTGATTAACATGAAGGAACTAAGTTCTCTATTTAGTTGGAGAATTCTGTGAAATTGAAATGTTAAGAGACGTGCATTTAAGTTCATGGCCTTTAAAAACTGAGCAGGACCTGCAACTTTGTTGATTCCTCTCTTGCCAGAGCAATACAGACACGGTACAATGGCAAAACATCGCATGTCTATTATATAAATTGTTCGTCTTGAGGCATATTACTAAAAATCTATGTTAGTTTTTAATTTTAGATTTTTGTTGGCCGTAGAATTTAGGAAAAGTGATTTTTTTGAGGGGTTTTGAGTAACTTTTCACTATATAAATTTTAGTATTTCATAAAGTATTTGAATTTGATTCTATTGAGAATGTTTTTGTATAATTTTATCGAGCACTTGAAATTTAAGAAGAAAAATTTGTGCATGCTTGATAATTTGGTGAATGCTTGCATAAAAATCATGCTTTACAATGCTATTGGAAGTTATAATTTTTTGTGATTTTATAAATTTTGATTGTTTATGCCAATTATAACGTTAAATAAGTTCGTAGATTTGGAACATGAAAGTTTATGCAAGTTATTTTCATTATAATAATGTGGAAATGGCTAGTGTCTTAATAACATAGCAAATATTGTTAAGTGCTTAACATGTAAAGTTGCAAAGTATTGCTACTTCTTGCTATACATTTAAATCATTCATGCATGTTCATATTATTGCTTGTCAATAACATGGTGAAATGGAGGTTGGAGGGGAATCAAATAGTGGTGTCAATTCGGATCAACAGGTCGGGTTCGGGTTGAATTCGGAATTGACTAGGTAGAATTCGGGTTAACCTGAACCTGATCCGACACGAACGACCTGAAGTTGACCTAAAATTGCTAGTTTTCGGGTAAAAAATCGGGCCAATATTCAATTTTCAAGTCAAAATCGGGTAAAAACTAGATCAATCTCGACTTTCTGGGTCAAATAGGAGTTTTCATGTCAATTTCGGGTTGCTGGGTCAACCTGAATCTGACCCGATTTTTAAAACGATTTGATTTGTTGAACCCGACCCGTTTCGGCCGGATTTTTTTGGGTCAGGTTCGGGTCGTGTTTCGGGTAGTGTCAAAAATTGACACCCTTAGAATCAAAGGCAAGGTATATACGATAATATGGCCACGTGAAATTATTCCCCTCCATGATGAATGTGGAGTTATAAGAAGGCTTACCTTCTATCTGTATGTGTGATAGATGGGAGATGAATGTTAGCGATACTAAATATTAGTCACATTCCAAAGCTTTTGAAATCAATTTGAAACTTCCCTCTTGCTTTTGGATGTCTAAATAAACTTCTATTTTATTATGTATTATCTGCAAAGAGTAAATGAGTCATTATTGGAGTAGAATGTAATCCAAAGTATGAGAAGACTTAGATTTAGACATAGGCAGTTGGGTAGGCTGAATCATGTAAATGTCAATTGTTTCAGTTTTGCTCTATAGATTAGATTTATATTCATTACACATTTATGAAATATTGTATGTTGAGTATAAAGTGGTAAAAACAACATATATTTTTTATCTAAATTTGTTGTGTCCTGGAGTGTTTGTGGCAGCTGAGAAATATAAAATTTAGCGTCTTAATGTTGTATGAAGATCCGGCATGCAATAGGGTAAGAGAGAGGGTATAACATTTATGAGGCACCAAGATTTTTATGTGAAAAACCCCTGAAAAGTGGGAAAAATTACAGAGCCTATCCCAATTTGAATGAATCCATTATTATTTGCAGTCGCTTACAAATGAGGCCCTTCCTTAGGGGGAAAGTCTTGACTTGATGTACATTATATGAAGTACATGATCAGAATACAAAGTCACTATTGATGTATTCGTTTGGTCAGAAGGACCGCAGTCGATGGGCGACGTAAGTTGGAAGGACCGTAGTCGGAAGGCGATGGAGATCCGAAGGACCGTTGTCTGACGACAGAGGTCAGAAGAACGACGTCAGGTAGAAGTCCATCAATGGACATAAATACAACATCAGATAGATGTCCGATGAAAGTCCGACAACAAGCAGAAGTCTAGCGCCGGGTAGAAATCTAGCTATGAGCATTCCAGCGTCGGGTAGAAATCAAGCTATGAGCGTTCCAACGTCGGGTAGAAGTCCGACGTCAGTCGACAGCCGGGGAGAACTCCGGCGTTAGATGATATTAAGACAAAACTCTAGAGTTACTTGGAGATCAGGCAGAATTTCGGCGTCACTTGGAGATCTGGTGGAGTTTCAACGTCACTTACAGATCGAGAGGAGTTTCGGCGTAACTTAAAAGCTGGGCGGAACTCCGACGTCACTTGAAAGTCGGGTAGAACTCCGGCAGTGGTCGGGGAGGAGTTTCTTCTCTCATTCTCTTCTTCTCTTCTCCTCTTCTTCCTTCTTTCTCGGGTCCCCTCTTAAGAGAAATGAGGGGCTATTTATAAGTTTTTTTAGGATGGCATGACCAGTAAATAGGAGAAAGATCAGGGGTAAATTGGGAGTGATTTGAATGGACGGCCGATGTTGAATCCCTTGATTATGGACCGTTTATCAAGCGTTTGAAAGTTCTAGTGTTATCAGAATTCAGCGATCTTAAACTCGTTGGATTCGTCTCGTCGAGCCGCTCGATTCGACTATAAGCATGTCACATTTGCAAACCATTTGGTAATCCAAATTGTGTCTTGAACCTTCCTACAACTCTTTGGGTCTTCGATTCAAACCCATTTATGCTCGGATTGAGTTGGATTTGGTGTCGTTGGGTTCGTATTTTCGAGACGTCCAGTTCAACTTAAGTTTGCTAAAATCGGAGTTCAGATGGCCCCAAATTTAATTTTTGAACTTTCCAACTTGATTTTGCTTCAAGATTCGTGCCCGATCAAGATAATGTTTTTATGATATATCAAAATTAATTAATTTTACTATGCTCAATATTTATACACTTATACTCTTGCATACATTCACTTGTATCAACATAACTATTTTGAGAACACTTGTGTTTTAGTGTTAACAAGATCAATCAAATAAACTAGTACATTATAAAAGTCTTACATAGTTATATTTATAGTTCAAGCACACTCATTAGCTTATTAATTAGATTGTTTTTGTAGGTTTAAGGTTTCGTTTAGGACAGATTTCGATCACAAAATTTTTCCTGTTTTCAATATATATTTTTTATTAAAAAATAGCTTTATAAAATAAAATAGAAGTTATAAATAATATTTACGACTTATTCTAATAATGAATGTTGCCCTATTATCGAATTATGTTCGTTATATTTTTCGAATAAAAAAATTATTATTATTTTAATTATTATCAAAGACAGGAGAAATTATTCTGTGGACATCGAATTTTTCAGAGATGAACAAGAATGCATCATATCACCCAGTATATAGTAATAATATGATGCACTCTGATTCACCTCCGAACGCTTTTGACTATGCTCATAGAATAATTAATTCGATACAGAGCTTCACAAGCGCACAAGAAAGCTAAACAAATGGGTGAATCGCATCAGGTCGCCTGACATGGATTGATGGTTCTGATTACAGGTGGAGGCCTACTACCTACAGAGCTTGACGTGATAGCCGTTGGTTTTTGCTTGTCACTTTATCCATCAGTCAATCTCTTCGATACCGGCGCTACAGGAGTATTAAGATTAGTGCCTCAGTTGATGGAGGGCTTGGATAACCGGCAGTTGGTATCTGTGCTCGCATCCTCTCTCTCCCCTGGCCCGGAGGGCGGGAATCAATTAGTACGGTCTATTCTCAGCCCTTTGATCAGACTACGAAGCTTCAAAAGTCGCATCATACCTGTAATACCCACGGGAGACTTGCGGTCCCACCATATCGGCTTGGTTATATTTTCTGGTCCCTTCTCGCTGTCCGAGACGACAGTATTGGATGGCGTGTAAAGATCCCACATTTATGTTATCTTCATAAATCTCCATTCTGTCGCTTCTGTCGCTTCTGTCGCTTCTGTCGCATTTGCTCATCTCTTTTATGTTTACAGTTTACGATTACACCCCGTTGAAACTTTTCTATTTTTCACTTTGGTTGAAAAGCAGGACCAGACATAAATAGCAATGCTGGCTCCTCAAATAAAGGACAAAATTTTTAATTAGTTATTATTAAAAAATTTATCATGTAATTAAGTATAAAAAAATTAAATTTAAAAATAATCAAAGTCATCCACCAAACGATCAACTGGGCGACTTTAATTATGTTATTAAAATTTTAATAAAACATAATTTAAATATTTCCCCTCAAATAAATTTATAATTAAAGTATTTTTTATTATTTTATGAAATATGATTTGAATGTAAAATATTTTTTTATTGGGAAATTTTAAAAATATTAAAATAATAAATTTATTGTGAAAAGTTAGTAGATTTATGGAGATTTAGGGGCTCCTTAGTTGCGTTAAAAAAAAGGGCTCCTTTGTTGTGTGAAAAAAGAGTGCATTATAAAAAAATGCTTTTGAGTTATTTGGATAATTATAAAAAAATTAAGATTATTTTTTATTTGATTTTAAATAAAAAGAAGGCAATGTAAAATGAAAAAAGATAGTGGTAGGTGCTCGATATTAGCAGTAGTGGCCATTGGTGGGCGTGAGACAATGGGTAGCCACGGATCAGTGGCAGTGGTGGTTAGCAGCTGTGGGTGGGTGGTGGCGGTGGCTGTCGGTGAGGGTTGGCAACCGGTACGTGGCTGTGACGGATGGTGGCAATTGAAATGAATTTTCAATTTATTTGAAACTTACCCAAACTGGATGAATTCAAATACACAAAAATGATCTAAAGGTGTATTCCAAATGCACCAAAAATTTACACAACATTTGTTTTACTTCAAACCTAATGTCAATATTTTTAAAACCCCTACGTTTGAAATAATTTACACTCTCTTTGCATCAACAAAAAAAAAAATTACATTGGTTTTTTTTTTTTATAATTTTTTAGCATATTTGCTTTTCAGATAGCGACCAAAAGTTTTTTTTAACTACTGCTTTTGTATTGCTTTCTCACTGCTTTTAAAATATTTAAGTAGTGAAATGTTGCTGTTTTTAGTGGAATGTTGCTTTCTACAAT